ATATGGGCTACTTTCATGATTTATTGTTCTGCAGCCCGCAGATGGGAGTTTTACTTACTCAAAAATGTTCTGAGGGCAGAAAGGAAAATGATTGGTTTACAGTTTCAACCAATGAAACCGAAGCAAAGGCGGGGTCAAGACGTTTGAACATGTGGAGGGAATAGTCGGACTCGGAATACAAGACAAACAGATGTTCGTGGAGGAGAACGCATTTATTGCAAGGTGAGTCTATATGGGGAGGCTGCAGACCTGGAGCCGGCAGATATACGCCCCTGGCAGTTTTACGCCCCGGCAGTTTTAGGACCCTGTTGTTCCTGATGCGTCCAGTAGAGGGATATACTGCGAAATAACATAATTAAATCGACGCTTACACATTAATAACCCGTCCATAGACTTGACAATTTTGTGTTTTTTGTTAATTTAAATATAAACGTTACAGTGTAGATCTCCACGGATTAAATTTTCTGTAGATATTCAGTTGGGCTTCACTCTCTTCACTCAACCTACAGAAGACTATTTGTTTTTGTGAATTGAAAAATTAAAAATACGCATAGTTGGATCAACTATGTGTTATGACAGGTGATGCTATGACCTACTGCAGTTATAGGCCAATTCACCGTAGGTTTTTATATACAGGAGACTGAGTGAAATATGTTTTTGTGAATTTATATAAAGTCACATTTAGATATTAACTATATTTAGCCCCTTAGACATGCAGTACCGTGTAATAATATGGATCCTCGATGAAATATATGCTGTACTATTCTATTGGTCATCATACAGCTACAAAACAGTGTCCTACACAGCATTTTATGAAGACAAACACAATTTATCCCTTTTCTAAAATTCCATGGGCCATTTAGAAGATATAGACAATATTTTTGTTCACAAAATTTTTTTTATTAACACCATTTATGAATTATGATGACTCCCTTATGGTTTGCCACTCTTCTTTAACTGTTTTTCTTTTCTTTAACTGCTCCTGCTCACTGATGAAACATTTAAAAATGAAACATTAAAAAAGTTTTAAAAGGACATCCATGGTGAATTTGACCTTGTCCCTGTGTGTGTGTGTGTGTGTGTGTGTGTGTGTGTGTATTTCTTTAAGTAGCTAAAGCAAACACACCTTTATGAGATCCAAGTTAAAGAGAACTTGGTAAAGACAGAGTATGATAAAACCCACATTAAGTGCACATACCCTACATTTGAGTCCAGATCAGTAAGCTATTTTAAGAAAAAAATGTATTTTAAGATATAAATGAGATAATTAGATCATCTCATTTATAAGAAACAACTCAAACCAGAATCTACATTCAAACCATATGGGGAAAGTGTTTAATGTGTTTTAACGTATTTGAGTGAGTGTGCAGTTTAACTCTTTACTTAGAGAGAGAGAGAGAGAGAGAGAGAGAGAGAGAGAGAGAGAGAGAGAGAGAGAGAGAGAGAGAGAGAGAGAGAGAGAGAGATTTACATACCTATTATAAATGTGTCTTTTGTGTGTTCACACCATAGACTGTAAAAAAAATTAACATATTTCCAATATCTACTGTAATATTGCTCTATAAACCACGTGGAGTATGTTTTAATGCAAGGAGTAAACAGAGTTTTACCAGAAGAGGCCAAGCTAAAGACAGGCCACAAAAGAAAATTAAAATTAAAATTTTAAATTGAGTAGAGAAGATAGAGGAAGCTAAACCTACACGTGGTTAGCTAAGTTTAAGCCAGATAGAACAGAAACCTGTCAAAATACATTATAGACCCATCCATTGATACATAAATGAATTGATATCTACCTACCCTAGCTCTATCGAGCTAATCGTTTATAAATAATAAATGTTGCATCATTGCTAAAAAACAATAACTTTAGCAGATTATTTAACATACAAATGACAGAATCTATTTTTGTCAGATTTTAATTCTAACGATGTTAAACTTGCTTATACGGTATTATTACTTTGTCTTCTGGGCAAGTTTCATCTTCATAAGACAGAACCATTCAAAGTAATCCTGATTCTAGAATATTCTCCTCTGATATAAAGTTAATTTTTTTCTTCCTTTAAGAAAATGTCAGAACCTTTAAACTCAAAGGTTTATAAAACAAATAATATCATTGAGTCTGTTGTAAAGAACCTTACATGTTTTTATATTGACAAAATGTAATATTGCATTGATTTGTGTAACCTAATTCAATCTCTTTTGATGTCCGTTTACCCCCCTTGTTTTTTTGTTAAACAGATAATTTAATCCGTGCAGATCTACACTATAACGTTTATATTTCAATTAACAAAAAACACAAAATTGTCAAGTCTATGGACGGGTTATTAAGCGTCGATTTAATGATGTTATTTCGCAGTAAATCGCTCTACTGGACGCATCAGGAACAACAGGGTCGTAAAACTGCCGGGGCGTAAAACTGCCAGGGGCGTATATCTGTCGGCTCCAAGTCTGCAGTCTCCCCCTACTCAGGTGAGTGAATTTACTATATATTTAGTTAAAATTCAGCACCCTCTAACGTTTATTAAGATCATCAGTGAACATTAAAATGCACAGAACTAATAATCATCGTCTAAATACCGTATTGTATGCATTTTGATTCGACTCTTAAATCAGTCGACCGCAACAAAGCTGCTATGGGATAACTGGTGTAAAACATGCGTTTCCAATGCTACCTCGCTGTGTGTGAAATTGATATGCGACAACAGAACTTAACGATATGTATTGCGATTTTTTTAAAGAACAGCGATTTGAATCTATTGAGTACTCCTGCCCTGAGAGCAGCGCATAGTACACTAAAATAACAGCGATTTGAATCTATTGAGTACTCCTGCCCTGAGAGCAACGCATAATGGACTAAAATAACAGCGATTTGAATCTATTGAGTACTCCTGCCCTGAGAGCAGCGCATAATACACTAAAATAACAGCGATTTGAATCTATTGATTTCTCCTGCAGTGAGAGCAGTGCGTAATACACTAAAATAACAGAGATTTGAATCTATTGAGTACTCGTCCTGCCCTGAGAGCAGCGCGTAATACACTAAAATAACAGACATTTGAATCTATTGAGTACTCGTCCTGCCCTGAGAGCAGCGCGTAATACACTAAAATAGCAGACATTTGAATCTATTGAGTACTTCTGCCTTGAGAGCAGCACATAGTACACTAAAATAACAGACATTTGAATCTGGGTACTCCTGTCCTGAGAGCAGCACGTAATACATTAAAATTAACAGCGATTTGAATCTATTGAGCAATCCTGCCCTGAGAGCAGCGCTTGGGCGGGAGATGTATCAGTTTGACCGTTGAAATGTCGCGGAGAGTTCTTATCGCATATCAATTTCACACACAGCGAGGTAGCATTGGAAAAGCATGTTTTACACCAGTTATCCCATAAGCAGCTTTGTTGCGGTCGACTGATTAAAGAGTCGAATCAAAATGCATACAATTCGATATTTAGACGATGATTATTAGTTCTGTGCATTTTAATGTTCGCTGATTATCTTTACTATTATCTAAGTTAATTCCCTCACCTTGCAATAAATGCGTTTTCCCAAGAACATCTCTTTGTGTTGGAGTCCGAGTCCGACTATCCCCTGCCTCCCCCATAGACAGTATAAGAAATGGACAGAGCCATCTCATTGGAACTCAGTTGAGACAGTTGAAGCCCATTTTTAGCGATTTCTGAGCACTTCCGTTCCTGACGCGCAGACTCAAACCGACTCAAACTAAGCTTGATGACGTGAGCAACCTGTCTGACAGACGTTACTCTTCTAGTAGCTGTGCGTGAAAATTGCCAACGTTAATCTTGCAGAGACGGGGAACTTGAGCAAAGAGTTCTTTGGCGTGAGTGAGCAGGAGTAAGTATTCCGTTGCTTTTATGGACTCATTATCTATGGGCTTCTCCCTTGACGGGGCGTCCCCCCGATTGCCTGCGAGCTTCTCCTCCTGTCTGTACGGTAATTTCTGTACAGCGCGACAGAGAGTCGAGTGGTTATGACGCAATCGTTAGCCTATTTTTACTAAAACTGTTTCTACGGGGCCATAATGTAACATAGAAGGTAATGGAGCACTTTATACATTGTCGTGTTTCTTTAGAAATAAATAATGGACAAATGGAGTCTTTAAATGCCTCAGATGTAAAGTTATTCGCTGTCAAAGTGACGCCAAAATGAATGGGAGTCAATGGAAATGCTAACGCAAGTGAAGTTCTGCTACAACATGGCGGCACCCGGCCGGCTTCAACTTCCGGTCGATGGATTACCCCCTTGGCCTCCCCACGTTCAAACGTCTTGACCCCGCCTTTGCTTCGGTTTCATTGGTTGAAGCTGTAAACCAATCATTTTCCTCTCTGCCCTCAGAACATTTTTGAGTAAGTAAAACTCCCATCTGCTTTTAGCCCTTTTTGGAGCTTGACGGGTGTGGTCACTTAAATGGCTATGGTCTCCTCGCGGATATAGGCAGGCACTGACTGGTAATGCAGATGTTGCAGGTCGTGTGACCTATGAACGGGCGGTTGACTGACACCTGGTTGGGCTTGAGTGACTGCTTCTGCAGTTCATGCACTATAGTTTGGAATTTGGATGTGATTCGACTTCACTACAAAAATCTCCAGTAAAAATAAGAATATTTTCAGTAAAAATATCTAAACATCCTTAAACAAGATATTAACATACTGGCATTTATTTTCTTTTGTAAAAAAAAGTTCATGCTTAAAACAACAAGAAGAAAAAACAATATGCCATCAGGGTAAGAAATATCAGCTGAAGGTGTATTTTCTGAAATGTTCTTTTGCACAATCTTGCAAAGTCTTTTTTTTAATTCTCAAATAATTTCTCAAATAATTGTATGTTGTCATAAGAATGTTTAGATATTTGTACTGGAAAGCAAAATATTAAAAATGTTTCTCTCTATCTCTCTCTCTCTATCTCCCCTATAGATTCATTATGTAATGTCTCTCTCTCTATAATGTCTACACGTGTCACTGCAGTGCATACTGATACTATATAACTAACACTGCCCCAGGGTGTAGTTACCTGCGCTCTTCTGCTCTACGCAGGAATGATTGTGCTCTCAGTCCAAAGCAGAAGCAGGTCTGAGCGTACGAGTTCATGAGATGCAGTGTTACTTCATTTTGCCTCAAATTATGAACTGATGGCTACAATGATCAGCTATTTGGTGCTTGTGGTAAGTAAAGTTTGTCTTTCTGTCGGTTATACAATAGGTTAATTCAAGATTCAGCAAGATCTTTAAATCAAATTACGTTCTATGGCTTACTTGGACTACTTACTAGCAAAGGAAAGAAATAGTAAATGCTAAAGTGCTTTCGTTACAATAAGGAGTTTTTTCTTCCTCAACTGACCCTTAAATTACTTATGTTGGTCTAACTCTAACCTAATACCAAATAAATAAATAAATTAAAATGTAACTAAATTTAATCAAAACCGTTGATTCATGTTACCTCATGAATACTTTTCTATCTGTGTTTTTCCTTCAGTATTTGTTCCGATATTCTGATTGTTGGGACCTTTTTAGTCTTGATCGTTATGAATAATCTGTGCAGGTGATTGGAATGATGATTATTAGACATTTTATGGAAAACTGATTTTATATGTGTATTCCTGAAACATGAGCCACTATCAAGGTGATTTTTCTTTCTGGGGTCAGTTGAGAAAAACAGCAACAAAAGAGTCAAGTAGGCTTTCCCAAACCTGTTTCACAACTTTGAATATTCTCATGTAAACATATACAGTACAAGCTCAAGGAGTTTCAAGACGTACGTAAAAAATAAATACAAATTTTGAAATGAAAAAATCATGCCTTCATGACAGAAATGATCTGAATGTTAATGATTGAAAGGCATTTTGAATGGTAAAACAAAGCGGTGGCATCATAATAACTTCATGTAATGGACTACTTTGGAGAAACTAATTCTCTTACCTTTTGGTTTAGCAGATTGATTGTTTTGGGGATACGACCCCATACACTACCCCCATCTTATACATAACTAATGGCATACCACGTTTCACTGCATATTACATTCTTATTTCCAAAATACATATTTTGTCTGGGATTTGATCATATGATCTGCTCTTGATCAATCTTTTTTTTTTTTAATGCATATAACGTGTTTAAAGCCATACTGTATATAACACACACTGTTTCTGTTGAAAGGGAATTATCTGTCTGTGTAGCACAGAGCCTCTCAGACGGCATAAAAGATCATGGATTATAGACTCCTTTGACATTGTGGAGGAACACCCGGGGCCTTTCCCTTATGAATTGGGGCAGGTAAGCATCAATGCTAGCAAATAATACTGCAGGTTTTAAATCATACAAAACATTTAGATTTGGGATGGTATAGCCTTTTGGTTGCAGGGTCCAGACAAACTGCTATTTTCTTTTTTCTTTTCATATACTGAAGAAAAGTTTTCTTCAGTAAGCAAGTTATTTCTTACAGTAAGATTGATCTGAAGACAAAATTCAAATTCTTGAAAAGAAATCATCATAAATAAGTTCTTTCATGTATTTTCTGTAAAGCTGCTTTGAAACAATATGTATTGTGAAAAGGTCTATACAAATAAATGTGAATTGAATTGTAGTTAGGTTTTAAATTGGTAAGATATTTTATTAATTTACTGGATTGTTTCAAATGAATTGTTAGTTAATTATTACAACATAACTATTTAGCCTAATAGGGATGTGCACACACAAGTTATCCGAATTCGTGACACCAATGATCGATAATATAAAATGATTGCTCATGATTATGTGTGACGAGACTTTTTGCTGAATTCGAAATTCAACAGAGCAGCAAAAGAGTCAAATTGGGACCTCATTTTTATTTTAGCCTAATTACGACATAGGCTAATTTTCGGCAGCATGAAGCACATGTAAGAGCGGTCAGACACAGAACAAGTTCACTGCAGAGTGCACAAACTCACATAGCCGACAGGACGCATTCACTCTGAGAAAGAGCAAAAAAGACAGAGTGTTAATGAATGAACCTTCTTGAATAAAAAATAGCACAACATTTAATAAAGCACATAAAACCGGAAGTTATGTGATCTGTTTTACGGAATACGGAAGTTTGGTGCGCATAACCATAGACATAATAAATGCATAGATGCCCTATTGGCCGCTTTGGAACGTTGCTGCGATACGTCAACGGGTCCGCCATTTTGCGGAGGGCAAGACTGCACTGTAATCAAATGTAAGTCAAACGGGTGAGCTGCGTTTTTTCTGGATAAAAACAAACTGTTTTTACATTTATCAACCAATTTCAGTGGTTTGTATGTGGTGTACAAAAAGTTCCATCTCTAGTTATTTAAAATCTCGATAGTACTTAGACTTGTAAAATATATATTTTTTTAATAAAGAATGGTCAAAGCTCAGGCTTGTCATGTATTTGGCTTTTTATTCTTGGATAAGAATGGTGAAGACCCCCATACTGAGATATAATTTAAGTTTTCTTATTATGGAAAAAGCATTTTTTGTGATTGACCAGATTTTAGCAATAACAAAGATAACTGATGGATCCTCTATGATAATACATATGTTACGGTACAACTATAGTGCAATGCAAATAGTAAATATAACATAAAGTGAGAAGTAATAGTAAATAGTTTAGTCAATAAAATAAACAAATAGTATACAGCAAATAAAATAGTATTGAATAGTATAATTATATAATATCATTAAAGTACAGTAATACAATCATAAAAATATTGATAATAGCATATAGTTTATTAATAATACTATAATAATAGCAATAGAATAAAAAATATCAATTACAGAATATATACAATAAAAAATAAGTTAAATAGTGACATTTTAATATTTAACTCTTTTTGTTAAATTTCAGTTTTATTGATCAGTAATAGCCATTATAACAGAAGTAGCTTCAGTCAAACATACAGCAGGATACAACGTTAAAATAGCCTAAATATAAAGTTATGAAACTTTACTTTGCCCTCAGCCAAAACGATTTACCAGGGAACCATTTATAGATTAATGAGACCAAAGATCGCCCGTTAGATATACACAAGACGAATTATATCTCATGTTTAACCACTAAACTAAAGACATCCGAGTCAGCGGCAAAACTTTAGAAGCACTGGCCGAGGTACGGCTGTTCCAGGCGGGGTAGACGAGCGCTGAGCCCCGGTGATAGCATCTTACAACTCCGAAAACGTCAGATCACATTTTTAAATAGGCGCTATCTTTATAAACAAACCACAGATTTGAGCTTTAAAGGGGTCATATAATGCCATTTTTGTACAAGCTAATATGATTCTTTAGGGTCTAAATTAAAAGTTTGTAATATACTTTAATTAAAAATTCTCATTAGTATTGTAAGAAAACACTTATTTTACCTGGTCAAAAACAGCTCTGTTTTCAGCACACCGTTTCAGTGCATATGACTTTAAATGATAATGAGCTTTGCTCACCCCGCCGCTCTGTTCTATGCGTACACCATTTGTAACTCAATAACACAATAACCATAACGTGTTGTTCAGTATAAACGTGGGATTATGAATTATATTGAGAACGTCATACATAGAAAACATGCCGTAATGTACCCTGAGTGTAAACCTTAGACGCATTCATTGTGAAGCGTGCAGCTAGCGATTTGCAAAGATTAATATATTAATATAAAGTTTAATAAAACGTTACACTCACTTCCGTTCTTCTGGAGATTCAGCTGGAACACGAATAGCTGGTACCGATCCTTTTTTCATGAGCAGCTTTTTAGCAAATCCAGCTTTATACTGATCCTCGTTTATAAAGCAGTCTGGTGTGTGAAATGATTCGCGCAAACATGAGAGCATTGACGTTGCTCGTGGGGAATATTCCCTTCGAAAACAAACACAGCCACTGCGTCTTCAGCGGTTCTGATTTAGGAACATTAAAATGACTGCTGTGTTCGTTATTGCACCCAAGAACAGAACACCACAATCGCTTAGACGCCATTCTGCTCAGACAGTGCTCCAGCATATCAACAATGACCGCGCCGGTCCGCGCCGCGCAGACTATGATTGACAGCTCCCTCATGAGCGAGGGCGGGTCTGTGTTGAAACGCTCCTGTCAATCAACAATCGTGGGAGGGGCGTGCGAGCTTGTGACGTCACAGGCTCGAACGGCTCAATTTGAGGCAGGGGAAAACATATAAGGAGATTAAAACAAAACCACTGGATGGATTTTTATCATTATATGATGGTTGTGTACAGACACTGCCAACACACATTTCAGTACAATCAACTTGTAAAAGTGCATGTACCATTATATGACCCCTTTAAACAACTACATTGTCAAGTCAAGTCATCTTCATTTATATAGCGCTTTTAACAATGGAGATTGTTTCAAAGCAGCTTTACATAGATAAACATACAATTTACGGTAACAGATTGTCGACTGAAAAACTATTAAAACTACATTTCGTGACACAATAACAGTAGTATTTTTAAATGTAACCTCTGAACGTTACTATTACTAATTAAATCATGACCAAATACAACCAAAAACAAACGTTCAGTCTTGCTTGTGAAAGGTAATTCCTCGAAAGCTGTCTTCAATTGTGTGGCGATTTGTACAGCCCCAAACAGCGCACAAAACAGGCATTTTTCTCAATTCCCGGTATGAGAGGTATGGGAAAGTTGCCATACCCAACATGGCGGCGCCGTTGACGTATACGCTACAGCGGCCAATAGGGCGTCTATGTATTTATTATGTCTATGCGCATAACCCCCATAGTCTGCATGTTTTTTTATTGTGTTGATCAGCGAGTCTTCAACAAGAACCGCCATAAAATCAAATACCACCAAAACCTGTCTAAAAAAAGAATAATTATTATAGAATTTTTAAAGCAAAGTTTTATAGGGGGCATTGGACATTAATAGTGACATTGAATATTAATATCTAATCAGTGTTGTTGTGTATAATGTTAGGTAATTCACACTGAAACATTAAACATTATTTAGTAACTAAAACATTATTTAGTAACATTATGTATTGTTAAAAACGACATGAATTTATTCAAAAAAAAATTCTATTTCACTTTGCTACCTCAATTCAAATTTTACTAAATGAAGGAATACAATTGGAAATAAATATTCAGGACATTTAGCCCCAATTTGCTAAATTAAATGAAAATGCAGTGCAATAGTTTGCAATGAAAACTAAAATTCTTAATCGACAACTTAATTATGTTAAATGACATAGTTATCCTTTTGCCACAAACATAATGTTATGAAAATTGCCTTCCTGAGAAAATTCCTTTTCTCAAATTCTAGATTAAACTGGACCGTAGCTATTTAGTGGAGTTCAAGCTTAAAGGCAAAGGTGTGGATGAAGAACCAATGGGTGTCCTATCTATTGATTCGAAAACAGGAGTCATTAAAGTCCACCGTAAAGTCGACTTTGAGCAGTACAGTGTTCTGATGGTAAGGGGAGTCCGATTTTTTTTTTTTATCAGATGGTATATGAAGGCCATATAGAAGGTTTAAAACTAATTTCATTACTATTTCAAAGCTAACCTTTCAAGCTAGAAATGAGTCCAACTCGGCCATAGACACACAACTAGGCATGGAGGTCAACATACTGGACATCAATGACAACCCGCCAATATTCCAGAGGAAAGTTTATGATGTCACTATAAATGAAGCTGTAAAACAAGGTCAGTACCATTGCTTAACTTTCATAGCATTTTCATCAACTGTAATCATGAGTATTTTAGGTTTGATTTACTGCACCTTAATTAATATGTGAATCCTATGGCTGTTTTTTCAACTATGGACATGTTTGGTCTTGTTGACTTTTAGAAGATTAAGAGAAAAGAGTTACATGAGTTAGGAAGTTTGATATAAATTTCACACAATGATTATTGAAATTTATTTTACTCAATATTATTAGAATTGTTAAAAAAGAAAAGAAATTTATTGCAATGTATTAATTTTCATATTTCATGCAAATTATAATTATACTAACCTTAATGACCTTCATCATTTTCTTTTAAACATTGTATATGCAAGGTCTTATAAATAATTCTTATGTATAAGCTATTAAACATATTTATCTTAAATCTTAAAAGATTTTAAAAGGAAACACTTTAAAATAAGATTTCATTTGTTAACTACATTCGTTAACATGAACTAACAATGACCAACACTTCTACAGCATTTATTATTCTTAGTTAATATTACAGTTTTTCTCGATTGCTTAAACACTATAACCAGGCTTTTGAACTAAAATTTCAAAACCATAATGCCATTTATCAAAAAGCACACCCATTTCACTGAACTATGAACACTATTCCCCTGTTTTGACACATTAGTCAGATTTGTTGAACTGTCACAGCAAAACTCTACACACAAATCCCTTCATTTCTCATTGCCTACACCACGTGGTCATTTAGAAAGCACTAGCATTCAAAATTGTTCACTCAAGTCAGCACAGCTTCAGCTCAGTTAGCACACAATTACCCAGGTGAAAACAGTAAGAGTCAAAATTGAACACACATCAGTCAGATCCTTCAATAGATAGATAAAAGCTTATACAATCTTTTATAAAAGATAAAAATTAGTTTACTGAGTTTTGGAACAATGGATCCACAGAGAAATTAAGCAATAGGTCGAGGAGGAGGATGAGGAGGAGGAAGAGGAGGAGGAGGAGGGAGAGGAAGAGGAGGAGGAAGAGGAACAGGATGAGTTAGAGGAAGAGGAGGAGGAAGAGGAAGAGGAGGAGGAAGAGGAGGAGGAGGAGAAGAAGAAGGAGGAGGAAGGGCAAGGGCAAGAAGACAAGCAGTCTCGGATGAAATTCAAGCCACTTTAGTTGGCCATGTCCTTGTCCATGGTATGACTATGAGGGAGGCTGGGCAACGAGTACAGCCAAATTTGAGTCGCTTCACCGTCGCCTCCATCATCAGAACCTTCAGGAAGGTGTGGTGGCAAACACATTTCTATCACTGAATAAGAGACAAACATTTCCAATTGTCTTTGATGAGGTTTATGTTCTTGCAAGAAAAGGCCAGCAGTCGTACAGTCACACAGAGTGGCTGTAGAGTGTGACAGTGAAGGGAGGGCATCCTTTCTCCTTTATAGTCTTGACTCCCAGAATGTTATCTTTCTAGGCCAATGATGGTATTTCAACCATACGTGGAACATTCTTAGACTTGTTCATCATATTGTATTCTTGAGTGGAGGCATGTGCCAACACTCTTTACCATTCCAATACAATTCCAGATTTGAATAAGGTTTGTGTGTGCTCTTTTACTGTCATATGATGCTCACACACATCTTACGTAAGAGTAGGAGAGAGTAAAAAAGCAAGCAACATGACTTACCAGTTTTGGAAATGTTGTTTTGAATTTATAGCACCAGTGTGTAAGACTATGTTGTAGTGTGTGTATTTTTGAGGGCTTGTGTGTCCTGTCTGAGGGCAACGTTTGGTTTTTCAGCAAGAGTGAATGGTTTTGAGTGTAGAGCTTCATTTTGACCTGAAAATAGGATGTTTGGGGAATTGGGTGAGACGTTATGGTTTTGTGTTTACTGTTTTGAGAATACGAGGCATAGTTTCAAGAAATGTGTTTAAGCAATCGAGAAAAACTGTAATTTCAACATTTACTAATACATTTTTAATGTCAAAAGTTATATCTGTTAACTTTAGTCAATGCTCTGTGAACAAGCATGAACATGAAGCTCGTGTTAGTTAATGCATTTAATAATGTTAACAAATGATTTTAAACTTCATTGTAAAGTGTTTCCTGGCTTATTGTAAACCGGGAATAGTTTATACTCACATGTATGTCGTTACAAACCCTTATACCTCTCTTTCTTCTGTGGAACACAGAATTTTAAACAAAATACTGGTTGCTCTTTTCTATACAATGAATGTGGATTTAAACTGCAAAAAGATCACGAAAGTATTTTTAAGGTGGTCTATTTGCTGTATTTAAACTTTTTCATGCCACACAAGCTTTGTGTGACAGTTTGAGTTGTTGTTCATCGAAAATCTTGACATCCGCCCTAAGAGAAGTAAGGGGGTCCAATTTGTGAACAAATGCTTCTTGTGAGTCACATATTTTCAATGAATCGCTTGATCCACATTTCTGCATAATACATTCTTCTTCGGTTCTCAAGTTCCAATGACTAATTCAATGATCTAGATTACAGCTTATAAATGTATATCACCGTAAACTTACATTTGTGAAACTTGCAGATGTTTGTATCACTGTATTCAAGTTGTAATAACATTTTCATTTTCAGGAGATCTATTCCATAAACAATGGAATTAAGTAATTTTCTTCATATTATCTGTTTGCAGGTAGTTTTGTTGTAGGTGTATTAGCAATTGATAAGGACGCATCGGGAAGTCTGAATTCCACCATTGATTACAAAATCATTTCCGTCACTCCAGCCACTAAAAATACGGAGTTCTATATCCGAGACAGTGGTGCAATATCGTTTAAAGGATGCTTTGATTATGAGGTAAAAAGCACAAAGAAGGCATAATTTGCAAGTACAGGGATGATTACTCAATGCATATATTATTACTTTCTTGTTACTTGCACAGTGCATTCAGGCCATAACATACTATGGCCTAGAGATGCGCGGATGGGCTTTTATTTCATCCGCAACCGCATCACATAACTCATCATCCGTCCGCCATCCATCCGCACCAACGTTTTTGACCAATTTTCAAAACCGCACCCGCCCGCCATCCGCTGATACAAGGCGCTGCTGATGACAGCCGCGAGACTAGAAACCGCCCGCCACCCGCCCGAATTTAATTAAAATATTTTTTTTCGTCACGTCATCCGCCCGATCCGCGGTTTATCTGCGGAGTCCGCGGCTATAACCGCCAACCGTGCATCTCTACTATGGCCTATGGCATATGCATGCCTGTAAAACTTGTGTGTCTGGCTAACATTGGAAAATTGCTGTAACAAGACATGAGCCATCATGTTAGTGCCTGACAAACCAATAGGCATCACAGTCCAGTCACAGTGTTCAAGTTTCATGTGAAAACATGTCTTTAAAATATCTTGACATTTACCAGGTGATTTACAGTTAGCGTTTGAACTTTTTGAGTATGTATATGAGAGTAGAGTGGTGCAGGTATCACTTTGTAGGCCAACCGGCAGTTAGCATCACATTGGTTCCCTCTACAAAAACCGAATAGGATTTTCCCATAAGATTTTGGATTATCGCTAAAAACAAGCTCTGTGATCAATACAAGTTTGACACATCAAGATAATTTTCACAGATGAACAACTTTAATGAATTTTGAAGCCTAAATGCAGTCGCCAGACCACGGTCCTACAAATTCAACGTCACCATCACTAAGCTTCCGACAACTGTTTTAGTTTTTATCTAAAAGCATTTGTCCAGAAAGTTTGAGTTAGTTTATTAGAGCACAATTATAAACATAATGAGGCTGTAAATGCGAACTGAGCTTACCTGTTCAGCATGATGACGTTTAATGTTCCCGACAGCCTCTGTAGTCCCATTTAGCCACTTGTTAGCAACCTAGCAAGTGCTAAAATGCTAACTCGCTTCCGCGTTTTGGCCTACAAAGTGATGTCATACCTGCACCACTCTACATAACTGGTTTTATTTTTCAGGTGGCTAATAAATACACTATAACAGTTGAAGCAAAGGACCGTGGAGAAGTTGTAAAGTTGTCAAGCACAGCGACCATAATTCTCAATCTTCTGGATGGCAACAACCATATACCAGTTATCACAGGGCAAACGGTTAGTGATAATCTGTCCAATATATAATATTTCAAATAATTGCATACGCCATACGGTATAGTTACAAATAGTTACTCAGAAGAAAGTCACTTTTAAAATATAACTCTCACCCTGTTCCAAAACTGACTTTCCTTCTGCTGTAGGACACAAAAATATTTGTTGTCTCTGTCTGTACAATGGCAGTAAACATTGGACTCAAGCGACTTTCATTGTATGGGCCAAAAAAAAAGGGGATTTATTTTTATTTATTCACTTATTTATTTTCAAACTAATTCAGGGTTCAGGGAATGTAATGGAGGGGAGAAAAGGTACCTCCCCTCTCAAAATACACACAACTGATACTGACACGCGTCTCACTGCTGCATGGAGGGTCAGATACTCCATACAAGGGGACAAAGGTGGTTACTTCTCCATTCACACTGATCCAGACACCAATGATGGAATCCTCTCGGTGATTAAGGTATGTTTACACACAAAGCTATTCTGTAAGTGTCATTCTAGTGTTCAGAATCTCATCATCACAAAAAAAAATATTATTCAGGGATACTGAGTCATTTAGAGGTCATATAGTAGGGCAAGATGATCAACATTTGTAAGATTTGTGTCTCTGGAAAATTGTGATTATGACATTGCATTATGGTGAATATCAAAGGTTTTTGTGTCTATTTATTAATGAGGGATTTGTAGACACATTACTGTTTTTAGATTTTTGGAGTAGATAATATTTTTTTTATTTTGATGATATAAAGATAAAATTACAAATTATAAATTGGAGCAGAAGTGGCATGCTGTTACCAATGTTTTTTTGTTTTGTTTTAGTGTTTAGACCTTCGCTATTCATTAACCTAATGAATAGTTAACCTAACAGAAACACAGTACAACTTTGAAAAGTTTTAGCCTTACAGTCAATGGGGTACAATTATGGAATAATTTGGAGATAGTGATAAAACGAAGTTCAAACATCAATCTTTTTAAATACAAATATAAACAAAAGATCTTTGAAAAGTATAGAGAAGAAGAAATGTTTTGTCATTAGGGGTACTTCTACCATGACCAGGGGGCTGTTCCATAAATGAAGCTTAGAAAAGCGGGGATTAAACTCCAAAACCGGACTTGAATGAGCCTAACAAATAAGTTGGGGCTAAAGTGGTTCCATAAAAGGTAATTGAAGTTCACGCAATCTCAATAATTTGATCCAGGTTTAGATAATTGCGTGTGCACGCGTTTCTGAAGCAGCCTTAGAGGTCGATCGTGGATCAAATCGATCCACCATCAAACAGCGTATATTTTGTGCTGTTTTATGCGTTTGTGACATGTTTTTTTTCCCCTCAGTGCAAAAATTACATTTTACAGTTATATTCTCCATCTGTAAATGTTAGAAAGTCGTGCAAATGTATCCATTTTGCTGCTAATCTTCATATTGAACGAGCGCTGCTGCGCGCATGCGCGCCAAATAGGAGCGCAATAATTCTGACTAAAATATACATTTTGCTTGGAAAATTAATATGCGATATTTTATAACACTAGAAATATCTTCTAATTATAAGAATTTCTCTTTAGGATGTTGGATAAGTTGCAGTGAACTTCTAGCTCATTACACTCATATATTTTATACTTCTAATAAAAAAAAGAAATTGAACAAGTAGCCTAATTCAGGGAAGATTTTTTTTAAGAAACTAAATATTTAAAGATACAAAATATAGTTTTGGGTATAGGACCTATGCTACTTTATAAAGATTATATACTTATTTAGAATGCTGAGAATTACAGCTTTTAATGCAATAATTTTTTTGAGAAAACAAGAATCCCCAGTTTTAAATGAGTGGTTAGATTTAGTTTCTAAAGTACATTATGGAGAGGATAACATTAAATTAAGAACAAATGTATACATTTTGAAAAGATATGTGCAACTCTAAAATCAAAGAATATTCCATAAAATAAAGGAATATATATTGGCCTACATTAACTACATTTTTATGTAACCTTCCCTTTTATTTCTAGTTATTTGTTATTTTATTTATTTACTTATTTAATATTGAATATTTGATATTTAAATAATATTACTTGAATAACTATTAGGAATTATGTGTAATTCATTATAAGACTTTGATATATGTGAATGTTATATTTTAATTAATATTTATTTATTGTTTTATTTATATGTATGTGTTGGTATTATCACAAAAGAAAAAAAAAGTAGAAGGAAAAATAAGGAATATTTATTGGGGGAAAATATGATGTCTTCAAAGGAACTGTCCATTTGTATAATTGTATTAAATGTGTTTGAATTGAAAGACATAATAAAGTACATAATATATATATATATATATATATATATATATATATATATATATATATATATATATATATATATATATATATATATATAAGAGACAGTGTAGAGAAATAATTCTCTGATAACCGAGGCATTCCTTAATTAAAATGTCTTTATTACAAAAATGACATGTCCTAAACGGACAACTTTAAAACGCCTTAATGCGTTGGTATACTGTGTATTTATTGTCCAATAATGGTATGAGAGACTGTCAGTGGTAATATCATTGTGTTCTTGTCGGTCAGTGTTGAGGATCTGTGTAACAACTGAGGCTTAGCCTGACAGTTAGCCTGCCCTGGACCAGGCTAGTTTCACAGCATAAGTTGCCAGGGTAACTGAGTTTGAACTTTTTTAAGTTTGATTTATGAAACCGAATCTACCAAAAATAAGCCTGACTAACCGAAATGAGCCTGGCTTATACTCTAATCTTCGTTTATGGAACAGCCCCCAGATACTTGTTGTCTCTTAGTTGTTGTTTTGTATTGCACTTTGTTTCCTTGAACCAATGTGAAGTGAGACATTTTCTTGTATAAAATTTGGGGGGGGGGGGGGGGGGGGGGGGGGGGAGGTCGCTTATAAGCTCTTTTGCTTCGGCTCTCTCCTTTTGAGCAGAATGGTTGCTGCTCAAATAAAAAAATAAATAAAATAAACCTATAGGGCCTACGATAAATATGAATTCAAAGAAAACATTTTCATGTTTTCTTTGAATTCATATTTCATTTTGTGTATGAAATGTATAACATATAAATGTAAAATTATTTATCTTAATAACACTATTCATTTTAGAGGTTTAGGGTGAAGCCTTTTAGTGTTGCTTTTGAGATGTATTTTGAAAATGGAAATATTCATAAATCAAAATACTGTAAATTATTTTGTTGCAGTGTAGTCTGGACAAGTTTATTTCTTAGCACTCAACAAGCACATACCTGCTATATTGATATTATGTACATTATTTATTTATTTATTTTAATTCTCTGCATGCAGCCCCTAGACTTTGAAGAACAAACAGAACATAAACTCACCATCTCTGTAGAGAATGAAGAGCCTTATTTCTCTTGTGAGGTGAAGGCTAAACCTATAGATGGCCTCTGGACTGTCATCACAAATCCATCAAAACCATCCTCTGTTAATATTACCATAACAGTGGAAGATGCAAACGACCCTCCGTACTTCCCACATCCAAAAAGGAAAATAGTTATGGAAGAAAATGGTGTTATTGGAGCTTTTGTGGACAGAGTGACAGCAGTCGATCCTGACACTGGACGTCCTCACAAACTAGAGTATGTTTCTCATGTGTTCAATTTCATCAGAATCATTTAACTCCATCTGGACTCTAAAGCCACAGTTAAAAATGTGTAGATGCTGTTGTTGCAGTCTATTACAAAGTATCAAACCATATGGTATTTATTTAAAAGAAAAATAGTACAAAGACGTTTGTTAGGTTTGAAATGATAAAACAATATTGGTATTAATGTAATGAACTACACGTTTGACATTTTAGTGTCTGAAGTCAGTTCCTCTCTTAAAAATCACCTTGACACCAGTTGATTAAAAGTCATTAAAAATAAAAATTCTATTTTCTATCTAATATAATGACAGAGATACATTTTGACTGTGACTTAACTGTCTAAAAGTGTCCAAAAACCTTTTGATGCCACTCTGTGGGATCCAGATATATGCTTGTTAAAATTATTGTTTCCTCCCATCAGGTATTCTATTGAACAAGATCCTGCAGGTTGGTTCAGAGTAGACAAAACAACCGGGGAAATCTTTGTAAAAGAGACATTGGACAGAGAGTCAAGTCATGTGACCAACGGGACTTATACAGTCACTGTTCTTGTGACAGAGACGGGTAATACAATATGTTTGTTTTGTATTTGGCTTGCAAAAAACTGAAAACCTACATCCATCTGTTTTCCACACAGTAGGGTCTTATTAACACTGGACCCTATCATGGTGTCTCAGCCCGAATGCACAGACAACACCTACATAGTTTACTAAAACTGTAATCAGCTCTAAGTATTTTTTTTTCTCTTTCGAATTACTGATTTTCCACACCAGATGACCATCCTCCAATGACAAGCACAGCTACAATTCAGATCTACATCGAAGACAAGAACGATAACATCCCCTTGTTAAAGGAGAACATGGTTTCTGTCTGTCAGTCTGATGAAGTGTCAAGTACAGAGATCACAGCCTATGACATTGATGGAGATCCGTACAGCGGACCATTCAGTTTTGAAGTAATAGGAGATCATAAGGGTGAATGGAGCTTTGACCCCAGCAATGGTAAATAAAATCTTTCCATTGCCACTGTCAACTCACTAGGTGATGATTATTATCATATAGTGTTCTCAACATTTGGTTAGTCTTTTACTACGATGCAAAACCCTTAATCATCACCTTTCATCTTTTGTTTACTTTGTCTTTTAGGTATCACAGTGCATTTGGTGAAGGATAAAAGCGTTCATGCCAGTCTGTACATACTGATTGTGAAAATCTCTGATAAGCAGGGCAAGTTTGTCCTCCAGAATCTCTCTGTTGCTGCATGTGATTGTGCTGTCTCACCAAACTGTCTGCTGCAGCGCAACACACAGCAAAAAGTAGGAAGTGGTATGATGGGAATTACCATCTTTGCTGCGCTGATGATTTTGGGTAAGCACTGGATTCTGTTAAATTCCCCATAAAAGTAATGAATAAACACAATTATTATCCCGTGTTGTCCTTGGGGCAGGACATATTGAAGAACTTTTTAACAGCCTTTTAGCCTCTGGCACAGCGATGATTTGGTAGTACTTGTGGGAGTGCACTAAGATTTCTAATATTTGATGTTGTTTGTAAGAAAGTTAAATCTTGAATCTAAAAGCCATTTTTCCTATTAGCATGCCTATTGCTGTCCCTCACTTGCTCTTGTGGGACTGTGAAGTCCCTAGTCGAGGTAGACAATGTCTTAGAAGATGCCCTACTGCCTTCTAACATTGAGAAACCTGGCACTGATTGTATGGTAATATCTGACATTAAGATTTCTTATGAAAAGCTAAATGAAGCTTTCCTTTTTTTATTTTGGATTTTTTTTCCTCAAGTCAATACTTCAAAGATAACATTTATTTACATTCATACAGGTCCCGACTATTCTACTGAAGAAAACATCTGTTAGTCAGTCAAAGGAAGCAACTCTTGTCAATAATGGGGTTCAAAAGACATCAGACATTCAGCGGGTATAAACATTTATATTTGTTGCATAATGAGGTCTTGGAAACACAAAGCTCATATAGCCACTGTCCTTCTTTACACTACATAGTATTCCTTTTTTTTTTTTTTTTTTTTGGTCACAGATATCTAGCAACGTTATAGCCACTAAAAGTCTCCCAGTTCGAGTGGATGAGAGTTGGTCTAGAGACAGATCACAGTATTCTATTGAGGTAATACAGCAGTGTTCGTTTATGAAATTGTCCCAATTATTTAAAAAGGACTAATTTTAATATAATTCATGTAATGATCCTTTCAAAAGTAAAAGTGGAAGTTCAATATTTACTGTATTGTCTTCTGTACCTAAGAAACAGATGTGGAAACAAATACAGAGTGAAAACCGCTACCAGGTAAATCTAAATCATTGTAACACATCTAAACTTGTTATTGTTCAGGAAAATGGTTCTCTTGTGAAATCTTAAAATCAGTAATATACAGGGCTTTACTTACACCCCGTAGGGTTCAACATTTATCAGGAGGGGCTCACATAGAAGACAGAGTGCCTATTTCATCAGCCGATCGACTCTTCAAAGCTTGCTTTCTCAGGTACTGTAAGTTCCAAAGTAGCCGATTCAGCTTCAGTATTCTACAGACAAGGAACAGATAAATTCAACACTGATTCATTCATTCATTTATTGATCAAATTTCTTCCTCAACTTTCAGAGGCTGCATTCAATACAGTCCCTTGAAAATGAGTTGCTTGATTACGAGCCTCAGTTTTACGCCTTTGAGGACAACTCTGAGAACTTTGCAGACCTTGACCCCATAGACCTGCCCAGTAATGAGTTTGATCCTGAGCTGTTCTCTGATCTTGGACCAGCATTTAAACATCTGGCTTCTATCTGTAACCCAGGGATGAGGTCAAAAACAGAAGTGATGAAGAATGGGACTAGATAGTCTAGAGATCAGGGGCTGGATTCACAAAACATTCTTTAAGAATACAATTATTTGTAATTGCTATTTTCTTGTTATTTTCTTTTCTTAAGTAAAAAAAGTTAAGAATATTTTGAATTCCCAATCTTTCTTCTTGAGAATCTTAAGACAGAAACTTTAAATACTTGAAAATAATCTTCTTTACAAGCATTGTAAATAACTTCTTAAAGTGAAAGTTCACCCAAAAACGAACATGTTGTGTTCATTTATTCACCCGCATGTGGTTCCAAACCTGAATGACTTTCTTTCATCTGTTGAACAGAAAAAAAAATATTTTGAAGAATTTTGGTAACCAGACAGTTTATGGTACCTGTTTACTTCCATAGTAGGAAAAAATACTATGGAAGTCAATGACTCCCGTCAACTATTACCAACATTCATCAAAATATCTTCTTTTCTAAATGAATGCACAATTTTCATTTTTGGGTGAACTATCCTTTTAAAGTAAGAATAACCTCCAGCTTGTCTTAAATCCCCAAAGGCAATATGTATTATGAATTTATTGGGTTGTTTCAAATTAACTGTTGTAATTAAGCATTAAAACATAACACAAGCGAAATATAATACATATTACTACCAGGGATGTGTACGAGTTCTCTGAAGTGACACCAATAATCGATAATATGAACAATGATGAGTTTCACATGTGGTCAAAATGTGTGTGTTTTTTTGACATGTGAAATTTGTCACAATTCAGTAACGTTACAAAAACGAGTCGAATTAAATTTTAACCATTTTCGGCAGCATTCAGCACACATGAGAGCGGTCATATACAGGACGCGTTCACAACGCTAGACACACACACAGATATAGGCAGGGTGCATAGAGATCGCAAAAAGGTCAAATGATGAATGCAACAGACCAATCTATCTTGAGACAGGCTCTTTAAAAAAATAACTATTTAAAACACACATCGAATTAAAAACGTGACGTTGAGTGCTTAGCTCCAGTCAAGGTGGTCACGATGAAAATGTCATTGGGACATATTTCCAGGTTAAACATCTTCTAGATTCTCGAACAAGATCAAATGTTGGTCGGGACTTGATTGGATTAATTGGACCTTTGTTGTTGCTATTGCTGTGATCTCATGTGAGTGACAGGATGTCATGTGCTCGTGACAGTAAACACGTCATCAAAGAATTGTCGTTGCAAGAGGGAGGGGAAGTTTTTTTGATGAAAGATTATGAGGGAACTTGAATATTAAAAAAATATTGATGTGCACGGATAAATAATTAATAAAAAATAGCGGAATATAAGAAAATAGCGGAAAATAAGAATGGTCTATTTTGATTTCATGGTGACTTTTAAAAATTTCAAAGGTTCTTTCTTAAGAAGATTTTTGTGAATCAAGCCTCAGGAGGTTTAAATTTTTATACAATACAGGTTATTTTGAACAGAAGGGCTACTTGTTTCAAAAGAAAAAAAAAAATAGATGGGGTCCCTCATAGGTAAACTGGTCAATTTGTTTGGGATTGGTATTATAATTAGCCTATTTTTTTCCACAATGGATTTATTATGCCTGAAATAGTATTGTGTGATTGCATTGTTTATTTTGTAATTTCTATGAAAAATGGCAAATATTCTATATGCAAGCATTCAGACACTTTCCTACACTGTAAAACAAATATTTTCATGATTTGTTTTCACAACTTTTTTTCTTTTGTCAAATCAACTTAATTAATCAGATAACCTAATATTTTGAGTTTCTGTTGAATAAACCAATCTCTTTTATTGTATTAACTCAAATCTTTAATTTCAATGAACTCAAAATTGTAAATTGTAAAAAGGCAACCATACTTTATTTTGTAAGGTAAACCAACATATATTTTTTTACAGTGTAGGGTTTTCCATTTTATAAAAGAATGTTGAGTGCATATTTTCCTAGCTGTGCTGTTTTGTAACATGAACTGTCTTATTTTATCTGTACACATCAAAAAGTGGAAAGACACAAAATCTACAAATATAAGAAATCATGGAATCGTCAAAAACAGTGACTTACCTGTAACATTGTATTGTTGCCTTTGACCTAGTGCTTAAGTGGGAAAAAAACGGTGCCTTTTTTTTACTTAAAGGGATAGTAAACCCCAAAATTTAAATTCTGTCATACATTTTATTTCATTTCGTTCATCTTCAGAACACAAATGAAGATACTTGTAATAAAATCTGAGCAATTTCTGTTCCTTCATTGACAGCTATACGCAACTACCAATCTAACGCTTAAAAAAAGTTTATAAAGAGATAGTAAAACTAATCCATATGAATTGAGTGGTTTAGGCCAAATTTTCTGAAGAGAATCGATCGCTTTATAAGCTGACAAGATTGAATTTAGGCTTTTATTCACTTATAAACATTCATCAACGCACACATCAGTTATGTTAAATGGAAGCTCAAGCATGTTTGCTTGACGTGCGACAACCAATGAGGTTCATTCTCGTGTTACGCAGCATGTTTGAGCTTCTGCAAGAACCAATGAGGTTCATCCTCATGTTAAAGCAGCACTCAGTAAGAATTCCGTTTTGTCAAACAGCGACCCCTAGAGTCGCTGTGGAGTACTTGTACTGTCATGAATAGCACTCACGCAGAGATGGCTCGCACTCACGGCCGGATCCCCTCCCCCTGTACACCGGTACCTGTTCAGTTGGATGGACGCTGTAACGAGTGGAAATAAGGTATGGCCCCTTTAAGAGCTGCGCGCGCCCAACACCGCATGTATATGCCTCCGGGTTATTTCTGTTTGATGCTCATTTTATCAGAATTTTATCAGATCTGTTTTTTTGCCGTTAAGCAATTCGTTACCTCGCGAGACCTGATATCACACGATACTTCCTAACACTCAGGCCGGCGGCTCGCCAAAAATGCGAGGGTGGTTTTGCGGCTCACAGGCACCAGGGGGGTACGAGACGACCACCAGTCAACACGAAATCAGTAATATAAACATTACAATGACCCCAAAGCTGTTCGGTTAAGGTAAAAAAGTTACTTAGTTCACCTTTAAGCAGCATGTTTGAGCTTCCGCAAGAACCAATGAGGTTTGTTGTCACGTGTCAAGCAGGTTCGGGCTTCTGTTTATGTTTGCTGATCAATGATTGAATGTGAATAATAGACTAAATTAAATCTGTTCATCAAATAAAGCGATCGTGACTCTTTGTTTTGACTAAACAATAAATTTGGACTAAACCACTCAATTCATAAGGATTAGTTTTATGATCCCTTTATGACCTTTTTGAAGCATCAAAGTAGTAGTTGCGCAGCTGTCAAAGGACAGAGTACTGAACTGGCTCAGATATTATTTAAAAAAAATCTTTATTTATGTTTCGAAGATGAGCAAAAGCCTTACAGGTTTGGAATAACACGAGGGTGAGTAAATGATGACAGAGTTTTCATTTTTGGGTGAACTATCCCTTTTAAATGTTTGTTTATAAATGTTTTCTTTTGCGATCTCTACAACCACACAATTGTTTTACATTTTGCTGTTCCAGCTGTCATGTATTCCTTTAAATTGTGAAAATAAAGATGAGTTTTCATGATCATGTGGACATGGATTAATAATAAATGTCAGTGCCAGTCCACATACTTGTTTACAATAAAAGGACAGCATGTATAGTTTGCCATATGAGTAAATTAAAAATTGTAGGTTTTTCTGTCGTATTTGACACGTTAAGAGACAAGTATGTTAGCGGTGACAGGAAGGATGAAGGAATGGGTAAAGAACTATTTTACATTTATAATAATAGAAAAAATGCAGGATGCAATTGAATGTTGGTCCTGGAAATGGGGATTCAGATTCGGTGTTAACAATGAAAAGATTACCTTAAAGTGAACTTGTTGAACTTAAAGTTATATGGGAATGTAGGGGGAACAATATGGGTGTTCTAAGTAAACTTTTTTTTAACATAGGCCACATGTTGCCTGACAGGAATAGAGTAGGGTTTAGACAGAAATTCCATTAAAACAGTATAGGCTATGTGCGGTTAGATGAGATTTAGACTGGATGTCCAGGTTATGGATCAGCATCAAAAAGACTGGATTTTAAATTGCACAACTGACCAGATGTGTTGTTGGACTTTTAGAATAGCCCCAGCTAAATAAAACAAGGCAAAAAAAAGTATGGGAACATAATTATGAATAAATGTACACAGACATAATATATCCCACCAAATGAAATATTGAGAGGGTGTCGGGAAAGGGATCCCAAAGGTAGGCTATGTCAAGTTTTTGGTGGGTGGGGAACAGCCTGATGGAAGAATTTGGTGGCATTCAAATTTGATAGTGGCCATAGTGGCAACATGCAGCATTTACAAAAAAATAAATATACATGTTTTAAGACATTTACTTATATATTTAGTTTTTGTATCCCAGTAAGAAATATCACATTACATTTCCAAACATTTATTTTGCCATTGTAGTACATTTTTGTATTCAAACAGTCAGACAGCCGTGTTGCCATTGTCCGTCTCTCAGAAATCACAGCTTTGACAAGAGTGAGATACTGCATCACATTACTGCTTGCTTGGTATGTTTGTTTAAATGTTTTAAACCATTGCGATATATGTTTCTGTTTCTGTCTCACTTTCTTCCAGAGATGGCAAGCATTTATATTCTTTATAATTTGTTCAAATTTGCATTTGTATACATTAAAAGTTGTTTCAGCAATTTTCAATCACTGAATATTTTCTTTCAAATTCTATATTCTAATCAGCTATTTCATATGGAGTCCTCAGATTGTGGATGATTGTCCTGACAAAACTATATAGGCCTACACAAAGTCTGCTGGAAAAAAAATACATTTAACATTTAAAATATTATATTATTATTTTGATTAGAAGATATTTCAATAAAATGTTGGAAAATAATTTAAAAACCAATTATGTTATGGGTTATTCGAGGCTATTTGTTAAAGGAAGGGAACTGACTTACATTTAAAACGAGTTTCTCATTTAATTTCACGAACTTCCTGTTAAAGCCACGCACACTTTTGGATTTATCTGAATAATTACAGCATACAAAAAAAATCAGATTGATAGCCTACACACATTGGCTCCGTTGCACACCCCTAGTATGCTTCACTCAGAGATCTAATCGACAGGAAAAACAGATTAAATAAACAGTGGCAAGTGGCAACACATTTCGCAAAATGCAAAGCAGGCAGCAATACAGAGCTAGGCTTTCTCTCGACTCAGTGCTCCGTTTCGAAAGGTGGCGCTAATGTTCCTAATGGTGTTAATTAATCGCCGTTACACAAGTCGTTGCGAGGAAGAAGAGTATTACGGAGCTTGAAAAACCAAAGTGTCCACGATGGGACTAGAGTCTATTTATTCATTTATGATAAAGCGCATGATGGCAGTAACCGATGAAATATTCGACTCAGTAAAAGACAGTATAATTGAATATGAGAAGGAGATAGAGCGTCTAAAGCAGGAGAACTGTTCTCTGAGGAGCAGAAACTGCAGCTGTGCAGAAACATGCCATGGTCAGTAACACATTCACTATTATAAAACAATAATGAACAAGAACTGTATTCCCTCGATAATTACCTTCTTAAAGAGAGATATCCAATGTTAACAATATTGAAGTCATATTCCTGTAGAGCAAAAATAACGTTGTACACAAACAAAACCTATGGTTTTACAATGTTTTAAATTGACATGGTTCAATTGCAATACCATGCGTTTTGGTCATGAAAAATGGTAGTACCATTATTTGAAGTACCTTAACTGTTTAGGCCTACGTAAAGGTTTCAGCATAAATATGCTGTAAAGATATTCATCAAACACCAGCATTTTTAATTGGCTATTTACATTGTTTTTAATGTAAAGGTGAATAAATCAATATTGTGAGTAAAGACAGACTCTTTAATCAGTTTCTCATTTTAATGTTCTTTAAAGTAAATTTAACAAGAGAAGTCCAATTGATTTTCGAAAACTTTACAAATACCTCTTGTTAAGAATAAAATACATCAGATTACTCAAGTAAACTGGGTTGTGATCTGTTGAACAGTTGAAAACTAATCTTATGCCTCATGTCACACAGATACTCAGAGAGATGGATGTCTGCAAGGTCAGACGGCTTCAGAACTGTCAGAAATACGAGTAAAGTTGGAGGTTGCCACTGTGATGTCCCATGAGCCTTTGAGTCATGCTTCTCCTCTTTCTGAAGCAGTCACAGGCCAGGAACAATATCAGTGCCTCTCACTTCTGCCAGAGGTGATGCCGAAGAATGAAGATACACAGTCATCAATCACAGTTAAGTCAGAGCTGTGTGATAATCAGGCCAGTGAATCGAACTCATCTGCAGTGCAGTCTGGCAGCAATTGTCATGTTGAACTTAAACTAGCTGAACAAGAACCGTCGTCTCTTCAACTTGAGCTTGAAACCTTTGATGAGGTGTTACAAAAAGCAAGGCGAAAACACCAGAGTGCATTATGCAAGATTTGCAGCAAGTCTTTCAGGAACAATGGACATTTGCGGAAACACATGTTAGTACACCAAAATGAGAGACCTTTCTGCTGTGGTTCATGTGGGAGTCGTTTTAAAACGAAATCCAGCTTAAAAGAACATGAGAGACTTCATACAGGTGATTATCGCTACAGCTGCCCAAGATGTGGAAGGGGTTTTTCTCGATCAAATCATGTCAGAAAGCACCTTAAGGCAGCCTACTGTCATAAGCCTTAAAAAAATGAATTTAAATTTTAATGTTTTATTAGATATACTGTATTGCAAATTAAAATATCAAAACAAATATCTGAGAGAGAACTCTGCTTTTCTTCTAATGATATAATGTTATTATATGAAATATTATTTAAAATATTTTGATTGCTTTATGCAGCGCCTGTAACTCCAGACAATTTAAGTAATATACTTTTCCCTTTTGATGTGTCCATATTTAAGGCCCTAGCACTGTCCCAGCAATACGAGGTTCTCAGTCTGGCTCCTTGCGTATATTATATTCTACACAATTTCAAAGGTTAAAAAGCAAATGTGGGTCACATTGCATGATGCTGCTAGTTTTTCTTATCCAACAAAACAAAGGTCAACAATCCCTTTATTTATTCAACATCACTTATAAGCAATAAGAATATGAGTTTTGTAGTTTGAGGTGATGATAGCAGTGATTCTGGTGCAAGTTCTGTTATACCCAATGGCAGTTTATATTATATTAGAGCCCTGCGCAGACTGTTTTCTTAATCCCGCTCCCGCTGAATTTCTAACCATTACCGCCCGCACCCACAACGTGTGTTTTCCACTCCCGCCCGCACCCGCAAACATTCTTGTAGAAATTGTGAAAAAATTACACCAACATTAGGGCTAAGAATAACAGAGATAAAACATTGTGTTTAATTAAACTGACCATAACATAAAGGTGCTAGCATGCTAGCACCACAAATGACAAACTCATTCGGCCAGCTTTTTATTAGCCTTATAAAACTATCAACTATTAAAACAAAACATCACAACTAGTGGAGCCTAAAATAAATATTTAAACGTATGCGAGACAACACACAAACACATCTGACACATAACAGTTAAACTCAAGTAACCTAACAAGGCACTATTTAATTGAATCAATTATAAATTAAATATAAAAAAAATAATTAAAAAAATTATATCACTGGTGTTTATGTAGCCTAGGTAATTAACATATAGCAAAAAGTAAATAGCCTAAATACTGAAAAACATTAAACGTACTTAATGAATGAATTTAATAATTAATCACTTGGCCTAGCCTGCTATGGAGGAAGAGAATGTTAATGATCAACTACGGTGAACTTTATTTGTTGACTCCTTTCTTGTTACGTGGGACCCGTGCTGTATTTTTTTTACCGTCCACTCCCACCGCAGCAAAGGTAAAACTGCCCTCTCCCACGAGATTTGCATTGGGACTTGGGACTTGGGACAGCTCTCTATATTATATGATCTACTACAGCAGATCTGCCTATGTTAACAAGACTGTACAGGAACTACTGTCATGGGAATGCTTATGTCCTGAAAATAAGTTGATTCCAAAACTAAAATATAAAAGGAATTCGGGTAGTTTCAGTACTTTCAATGTAATAAACACAACAACTTTGTATTAAAACATCTGTGTTCTTAACTAGTCTGACTTGTCCACATAAACCTTGAAAAATCACACACAAGTTTGCCACACACTTCTTTGTCGGATTAATGCACAATTGCATTCTGTACCACAATGGGTAAAGTGCAAACTGGCTTTGTTGAAAACCTAGCGAGCTCATCCTAACTGAAATGTAAATAAGTGTAGTATGGATGGATTTCCAAGCAATTCTTTGAGCATCTTTATCATGGAGACGCCGGTATAATCTTTATCATGGCGATATCATGGTGAAACAAGAAATTCCAGTTCTCTCTCTGTGAACCACTAGCAAGTGAACGCAGCAATATGCTAATATTGGTGTCCCCATCTTGTGTGAAAGAAACAGAACTTCTACTAGGGTGAGACGCTATCAGGGTAGATTCAGCAGAACGTGATCAATCCCTGGGGTATTGAATGAAAGATAAAAAAGGATTTCATGAATGAGAGCTTTAGTCCAAAAAATGCAAGTAATTTGCCAAAATTGTGTTTTTAACTGGTCCTCATATTTGTAGACTTCATTACAATAACATTTCTTTTCCTACAGAAGGACAAGCAGAAGATCGGTCAGTAGAACCACTGGACTCACAGCTCTCCCATGTGGAAATAATTCTACAACCAGACAGTGTAAATGTGGACACAAACCCACAGCACTCTACTAAATTAAGTCTTTCTGATCAGGGACCTGGAAAATTTCACAGGAAATGTGACAGGCCAATCAAGCTTCATCAGAGCATGAAAAACTACAAAGTGCCACAAAGTGATCGAAAACACCCCTGTTCATTTTGTGGCAGGAGATTCTATAAGAGATGTCATCTCATAGAGCATTTAAGAATTCACACTGGTGAAAAACCATTTGGGTGCAATAAATGTGAAAAGTGGTTTGTCCAATGGAATCAGGTAAAGGCACATATAATTAAGCATCATGAAGGAGATATGTCACAGATATCAAAGAAAAAAAGCCAAAATTTGTAAAACTGGTTTGGTCATCTCCACCTCAAAAGAATTTAGAATAATGTTAGTTGTTAGTAATATTTTGTTCTACAGAGACTTTCATCTAATCTGTGGAAAGGAAATGGAATTCACATACATGATTAATGATGAGTGGGCAACAGTTAAGGTATTTCCAAAAACTGCAAATAAACAATGATTGGAATTACTGGACCCTTTAAATAAGACTTTGATGCATAAACTTTTTACACAGAACATTAAACGTTTGCCTGAATAGTCTGATTGCGTGTTGCGGCTGCTTGCATGTACACGATCGATGCGATAAAAGCCTATCGCAGTCTGGATGCTTACAATTAATTTCTTAGCAGAAAGTTTGGGAACATTTGTTCACAATGTGGATGACATCTGTCTTGTGTTTGGTAAGCAAGTCAAACAGCGCCAAAAACGTACTTATGGTTTGTCTGGGGAGGTTACGAGTGGGCATTTCACTTGCATTGGGTCAGTCAAGTGATCACCTGGATTTAGACATATTGTATTTATATAAAGTGTTCACAGACAAATTTGAAATGTATTTCCCCGTCGTAAAAATCAGGCACATATAAATGGCGAGAGAAGTCCTAAGTGAAGAATTATGGAAGAAAGCAGGACAATAATATTAATAATACATTTTATTTCTAAATGCGCTTTTCTTAAACCCAAAGCGCTACAGTAAAAGACACAAAAACAGCAAAGCAATACAACAATTAAAAAACAGTCTTAAATAAGTGTGTCTTAATCAACTTTTTAAAATGTTCCAACGTTGGTGCATTTCTGAGGCCAAGAGGAAACACATTCCATATCTTCGGGGCTAATATGAAAAGGCTCGTTCCCCCATAGTCTTGAGCTTACATGAAGGCTAATGTAGCAAAAGAGAATTGACAGAACGGAGAGAACGTGATGGAGTATAGGGGCTAATGAGTTCACAAAGATACTGTGGAGCAGTTCCATGTAGTGCCTTGTAAGTTAAAATAAGAATTTTAAAATCAATTCTCGCATTTATAGGAAGCCAGTGCAACTGTCAAAGCAACACATTTATTGTGTTGTCACAATATAACAATATTATACTCAGATATTAGACTCAGATATAGGAAATAGTGCAATAAATGTGTTGTTTCAGTTTCTGAATATAACAGGTTTAATAAAGATAGTAGTAGCCTAAAAGAGAGGTAGCCTAGAGGGTGCGGGTAAGATAACTTACACTTAAGTGGAATCCGTATTGTTTGGCCAGAAGCTAGAATTTTACTTTATAGCGTGTTAAATGTGAATATTTTTCTGACTCAAATTCATCGTTTTGCTTCAGAATGCCTTTATTAACTAAACAGGCAACGTGTCTCACGAGATACATCGTTTTTATTGTCTTTTTTTGGGGCATAAGAACGATTTTTTCATCAAATTCTTTTATCACTTATGACAGCCTGGTCTGTCTTGAGTATGCTGGTCACATGATTTGCTTCAATTTTTTTGTGATCAATTAGTCAGCCTGACCTAAATCCAACATGGCTGCCAGTGGTGCAGAACATTCAGATTTTGAGATAAGTAAATATATATTAAACTTACTTTTCTTCTAAAAAAAAAAAAAAAAAAAGAATACTGCTAACATTAATTGTGAACATTGTCGTAAGGTGCTGAAGGAGAAAATTAAGTAATATGTTGTTCATGTTGTTATTTAGCACGTTTTGGAATGTATGTGTCTCCTGAGACACGTTGCCTGTTTAGGGTATACAAAAGGGATTAAACTAGTTCTGTTTAAAATGCACTATTCAAACTTAAATGATTGTAATTCAAGAATGCTTTGGAATATAGACCTAATTTTGGTCTTGTTTTAAATAAAAGTCAGCAGATTATTGCTGAAGTGAAAGCACTTTAAAAAATGAAAGTATGAAAAAGTTAAGGAAGTTTAAATCTTACATTAAATCAAATATACTGTACTTAATATTTATTCTTTTTTATAAAATATGTATTTTACAAAATATTTTTTACTATAAAATTTACGGTGGCCGAGAGAGCTCAACGCGCTGCAACTGAAGAAAACACATGCAAATACAAAAAAGCACATGCAAATAAAATAAAACGCATGCAAATAGAAAAAAACGCGTGCAAATAAAAAAAAACACCCGCAAATTAAGAAAAAATCTTTATCAGTTTCACAACACACGTGTGCTCCAAATACTCACAACACCACCAAATACAAACGCGCTGCAAAAGCTCACAACACAAATACAGAAAACGCACTGCAAATAACACAGAGCACAACGGAAATGTTTCCAGAGGAACCAAATAAGTGACGAACCCGGCTGGGACGTGCGTGCTGGCAGTGGCATAGATATCCATAAATCTATGCGTGCTGGTGCTACAGCTTAAAATTATACTTTATTTATTTATTTGTGCAAAACATACAGAGATTACATTTTTTTTATGACATACAACTTACAATGTACAAAATGTATTAACAATGTGTTCAATGCCATCAGAATACAAATGAGAAAAGAACAATGAGCTGGAAACTAAAATAAATAAGTAAAAAAGATAAAGAAGAAAATCATGAAGGAAAGATATTTATCTATACATCAGTTACACTGTACAAATTGTTTCATGTTATTACATTTTCATAAAGAAAAGTTTCGTAAGAAATGTTAGGTAATGTAGGGTTCAAAATTTTAAAGTTGAGACACACAGATATAACGCATATTTTAAAAGCTTTTTTGTAAACTAAAACTAAAAATGTATTTGCATCCGTTATGTTGACAGCATTATATTTCTGTGGTAAGAACAGCTCTTCAGCTGATGGACGCTGTGCTGCGTTGTCATGGGAACATCCCAGGTGAAAATAATGAGGAAATTAATTTCAATTTCAATTTTATTAATGGATAGCCCCTTGAGATGCAACATCTCATTTTCAAGAGTGTCCATACATATAGACATAAAACTATATGTATGGACGCATAGATTTATGGATATCTATTCCAGCACGTCCCAGCCGGGTTCGTCACTTATTTGGTTCCTCTGGAAACATTTCCGTTGTGCTCTGTGTTATTTGCAGCGCGTTTTCTGTATTTGTGTTGTGAGCTTTTGCAGCGCGTTTGTATTTGGTGGTGTTGTGAGTTTTTGGAGCACACGTGTGTTGTGAAACTGATGAAGATGTTTTCTTAATTTGCGGGTGTTTTTTTTATTTGCACGCGTTTTTTTGTATTTGCATGCGTTTTATTTTATTTGCATGTGT